ATGATAGATAGATAGATAGATAGATAGATAGATAGATAGATGATAGATAGATAGATAGATAGATAGATAGATAGATAGATGATAGATAGATAGATAGATAGATAGATAGATAGATAGATGATAGATAGATAGATAGATAGATAGATAGATAGATAGATGATAGATAGATAGATAGATAGATAGATAGATAGATAGATGATAGATAGATAGATAGATAGATAGATAGATAGATAGATGATAGATAGATAGATAGATAGATAGATAGATAGATAGATGATAGATAGATAGATAGATAGATAGATAGATAGATAGATGATAGATAGATAGATAGATAGATAGATAGATAGATAGATGATAGATAGATAGCACTGCCTAGTGATCGCAGCACAGCCAGCAGCTTACAAAGCGATCGGTGGCTCACAGAAACTTCTGTCACGATGAACAGCATTCACGTGCCACATATTTTGGCTGCAGCAGATGGAGCATGCGGAGGGGGGGCCCCTGCGAGTGTCTATGGGTGCTATGACCTGCCCTGCAGGATTGTCGCGGTGGTGACCACAGGGAAAGGCAGTCTGCAGATTTTAAAGAATGCCACAGAATGCCCGGCCCCAAATAAATATTGATAGGCAAAGGCAGATGAAAGACAGTTTCACAAACGCTTCTTTTAGCAGTGCTCATCAGTTTCCCGGGGCTGCTCTCGCCCTCTGCGCCCCAGCCCTGCACTTACGACTGCCAAATCGGGCATGGGAAATTCCTAGAGGATGAGGGCAGTGCCCACAGAGGGTGGAGTTTGGGGAGTGAAGGGAGCTCAGTGAGGATACTCTGCCATGGAATTCATTCATGAGGGGTACCTCCACATTCAGAGACACTTAAGCCTCTGAGTCCCAGAGCCAGGAGGCAACATTAGAGGAAGGCCTCAGCCGCTATGCCCTGTTGTTGGCCCTCCAGAGGGACTGGCTGGCTACTGTGTGAGACAGGAGGCTGGACTGGATGGACCCTCACCGGTCTGATCCAGCAGGGCTCTTCTGACGTTCTTCTCAGGGGAAGGCCTTGGCCTCTCTACCCTGTTGTTGGCCCTCCAGAGGGACTGGTTGGCCCCTGTGTGAGAGAGAATGCTGCACTAGATGGACCATCACAGGTCTGATCCAGCAGGGGTCTCCTGACGTTCTTCTCAGGGGAAGGCCTTGGCCCTTATACCCTGTTGTTGGCCCTCCAGACATTGGCCACTGTGTGAGGCAGGATGCTGGACTAGATGGACCACTGGTCTGATCCAGCAGGGCTCTTCTGAGGTTCTCATCAGGGGAAGGCCTTGGCCTCTCTGCCCTGTTGTTGGCTCTCCAGAGGGAACTGGCTGGCCCCTGTGTGAGACAGGATCCTGGACTGGATGGACCGTCAGTGGTCTGATCCAACAGGGCTCTTCTTATGTTCTTATCAAGGCCTTGGCCTCTATGCCCTGTAGTTGGACCTTCAGAGGAACTGGTTGGCCACTGAGTGAGACAGGATGCTGGACTAGAGGGACCCTCACTGGTTGGATCCAGCAGGGCTCTTCAGATGTTCTAATGAAGGCCTCGGCCTCTATGGCTTGTAGTTGGACCTTCAGAGGAACTGGTTGGCCACTGAGTGAGACGGGATGCAGGACTAAAGGGACCCTCATGGGTCTGATCCAGAAGGGTTCTTCTGATGCTCTTCTCAGGGGAAGGCCTTGGCTTCTATGCCCTGTTGTCAGCCCCTCAGAGGAACTGGGTGGCCCCTGTGTGAGAGAGAACGCTGCACTAGATGGACGATCATTGGTCTGATCCAGCAGGGCTCTTCAGATGTTCTTATCTAGTGTTGCTACCCTCCAGGTGTGGCCTGGAGATCTCCTGGAATTGCAACTGACCTCCAGATCACAGGGATCTTTGGAAGGCGGGCTCCGTGGCACTGGAGCCGCTGAGGCTTTTCCCTCCCCTAACCCCTCCGTCCCCTGGATCAACCTCCAGATCTCCATGAATTCCCCGACCCAAAGTCAGCAAGCCTAAGTCCATCTTTTAGAGCTGCCTTTTCTCCTGGGGAAGTGGTCTCTGTAGTCTGCAGGTCACTTGGAATTCCAGGGAAACTCCATTCCCCACGTTCAGGTTGGCAACCCTGGATATGAGCACCCCCTCCTCCATGGTACGCACATCAGAGGGGAGACCCCCGCCCCTGCCCCCCGGGTTGTCTGTGCAGAGATTAAATTCTGCCTCTTTCTGAAATCTCTCGAGTTCAGGATGACGAGGGCCGAGGTTCTGCCTGGGTGAGCGGCAAAGACTTAATGAGATGACCCGAGAGGTGAGATGATCACCATCTTCAAGTATTTGAAGGGCTGTCATACAGAGGATGGAGTGGAGTTGTTTTCGGTTGCCCTAGAAGGCCGGACCAGAACCAATAGGTTGAAATTAAATCAGGAGTTTTCGGCTAAACATTAGGAACAACTTCCTGATAGGCAGGGGTCATTTCGTAGAAAAAGAGGTGCAGGAGCTCATTAGCATAACTCATTAGCATAACTTATTTGCATATGCCACACACCCTGACCTCACCGGAAGTGGGTCAGAAGGCAACACCCACCGCTCAGACCCCACTGGACTGTTTTAGAGTGCTAGCTATGGGGGGGGGGGAGCGTGCAGATCTGTCCTCGCAGAGGAGGGAGAGCTTGTACCTGAATGAAACTTGGTCTTAAAGGTGCCACTGGACTGTTTTGGACCGGGGAGCTGGGGGGGGGGGGGCTGCAGCAGGGGGCGGGGCTTGTTGCATGTGCCCCCCCCCTGGGCTCTTTACTGCCAGAGCTCCGCTCCTGTGCGCTCCTGCAGGAAATGACCCCTGCTGATAGGTAGAATGCTTCCTCAGTGGGACAGGCTTCCTCGGGAGGTGGTGGGCTCTCCTTCTTGGGAGGTTTTCATCTGACAGCAGTGCTGATTCTGTGAACTTAGGCAGTTCATGAGAGGGAGGGCAGGAAGGGTTGCCGCAGTGCTTAGTTCTTGTGGCCCTTTCTTACACACCCGGGGAAATGCTGGCTCACCACCTTGGGGTCAGGAAGCCATTTTTCTCCAGGCTGGCTTGACCAGGGATCCTGGAGGGTTTTGGTCATCTTCCGGGTGTGGAACAGCAGTCACTGCGGGTGTGGAGGGGGAGGTATTTGTGAATTTCTTGCATTGTACAGGGGGTTGGACTAGATGACCCTGGAGGTCCCTTCTAACTCTATGATTCTATGATTCTACGATCCTCCATTTGTTTCAGTGGGACACACAAAAGAGAGCTTTCTTGTGGATTGTACCCCTTGGGAAAGGCCTGCTCCATGTGTTGAGGGGCGGGGCTGGCGCAAGACGTTCTCCTACCACATTCTCTCTTGTGGAACAGCAAGCACTGCCGGCACTAGTAGAGCTTATATCAGCATGCAAGAGTCCTTTTCAGGTGCCACCCCCAGCTGTAAATGGATGCCCATGGGGGTCGCCTGGGCGATCTCCCACTTCCTGGGAAGGGAGGCTTTGAGGGAAGCAACAGCCCTTGACTTGCTTGGGTGAGTGCTACAGTCTGTTGTCTTCAACTGCCGGAGATGGGAGGTCCCTCCCGAGGACCTTGAACCTTGGTCTTCTTGTGACCAGATGGACCAAAGCTCTCTGAGAGCCAGTTTGGTGTAGTGGTTAGGAGTGCAGGCTCTGATCTGGGAGAACCGGGTTTGATTCCTCACTAGAACATGAGAACATAAGAGAAGACAATGTTGGATCAGGCCAATGGCCCCTCCAGTCCAACACTCTGTGTCACACAGTGGCCAGAAATACCAGGTGCCCTCAGGAGGTCCGCCAGTGGGGACCTCACACTGTTGCCCCCCCCAGCACCAAAAATACAGAGCATCACTTGCCCCAGACGGAGAGTTCCTATCTACACCTTGTGGCTGATAGCCACTGATGGACCTCTGCTCCAGATGTTTATCCAGTTCCCTCTTGAAGCCGTCCATGCTTGTGGCTGCCACCACCTCCTGTGGCAATGAATTCCAGGTGTTAATCACTCTTTGGGTGAAGAAGGACTTCCTTTTATGTGTTCTAACCAGACTGCTCTGCAGTTTCATGGAGTGCCCACGAGTTCTTGTATTGTGAGAAAGGGAGAAAAGGACTTCTTTCTCGACCTGCTCTATCCCAGGCATAATCTTGTAAGCCTCTATAACTCCTCCGCATGCAGCTGCCGGTGTGACCTTGGGTCAGTCGCAAGTCCTTTCAGAGCTGTTCTCTCAGGAGCAGTCCTGGAGAGAGCTCTCTCAGCCCCACCTACCTCTACAGGGTGTCTGTTGTGGGGAGGGGAAGGAAAAGGAGATTGTAAGCCGCTCTGAGACTCCTTCGGGTAGTGAAGGGCGGGGTATAAATCCAATCTCTTCTCCTCTTCTCTCTTCTCTGTTTGGTGGTGGTCCCCCTCTCAGCCTGCAAGCCTTGGTCCGTGCCCCACCAAGCCAATCTTTGATGCCAACCCATTCCTGGGCGCCCCACTCTGGCATGGCCTCCTACGCCACAGCCGTCCATACAGCCCACAGTTCTCTGCCCACCTGAGGTGCCGGGGGGGGGGGGCTCCCCTTGGCCCCAAAGGGGCTCTCTGGAAAACCTTCATTCTTTTTGCACCCACAGCCCCCTCCCCTCTCGACTGCTTCATTCCTTCCCCTGGAGCTGACAAATGCCACCCTCCCGTAAAAAAGAAAGGGGCAGAGCTCTTGGCGAAGCGTCTCCTCCATCGCTGTGATTTTTCCGAAGGTCGCATCCAGCGCCACTCCCGGTGCTGGGCTCCAAGGGCTGGGCTCCACTCCCCCCCCCACTTCCCTGCCTTGCGTTTGGGCTCCTGCGCCAGGCCGCCTAGGTCACCGGGTTACACCCTCTCTCCCAGCTGTTGATTTACAAGGAGGGAAGCCCTGCCAAAGTGCTCAGCCTGAGATTCTGGTGTGGCTTGTTTTGTGTCTATTTCCCCCCCCTCCCCTTTACGCTCTCCTCCTCCGCCCTCAGGAGCACATGAACTACACATGCTGTGTCGGGTGTACACATGAGGAGAGCTCCTTTCCCCCCTGTGAACGAAGCCCCGGGAAGGAGAGGAGACCCTTCGGCCTTTGGACAGTGTCATCCGGGCTTGGGTTAGGATGCAGGGGGTTGACTGCCGGCTTCTGTGAACCCTCCTGAAGACATTCCCTCCAGCCTCTGAGCTGCAGCCACCCGGGGGGAGCCCTACCGAGCGGCTCCTTATGGAACACGAGGAGTCACCAGGCAGAAGAGGCCCAGGGGAAAGCACCGCAGTGCCTGCCAAGGTATTTTCTCTCCCCCCGCCCCTGCAAACCTCTTCTGTTGCAGACCCTGAGGGGCTAGGTGAGAGCCAAGCCCTCAGGTACAAGGACGCAAAATCTGCTCAGCTTTGTAGGTAATTGGGAGCAGGCTTTCAAAGGGTGCAGTTTGATCTGGAGCGTGAATTCCAAAATTGGATGTCTGAATATCGGAAGCCAAGTGTGGCATCACAACAGGAGTGTGATGTTTTCTCCCCCTGGGCTGGTTATATGAATGGATGAGTGAATGGCTGAGCTCTGGGTTTGAGTCGAGGAGCTCCTTTGAGACCAACGAGATTTTCAGGGCTTCCGAGAGGAAAGCTCGCTTTTGCCAGGAACTCCCTTTGTGAATGACTGGAGTGACTGCTGACATTCCGTGAGTGCTGTTGCAGTCCAGCCCTCTGACGCTGTCAAAGGCTGACAGCTGCTGAAAAATTCTTGGGATTTCAAGCAGGGAGGCTGGAGGTGAGCTGTATGTGAACCCAGAGAATCAGGGCAGGCATCAGGAGCTGGCACGGTGGCGGAGCACCTCCTAAGGCCCGTTTCTCAGCTAGAGGGCCTCATACGGAGCAGAGGCGCTAGACAGCGCTCCCTCTAAGCTGCAGCGTCTTGAGCAAAAATTCTACTTTGTGAGCCACTGGCATTAAGGTTGTGAGTGAGCCATTTGGCTACTGCCTACATCAGTTTGCTCTGGAGCCCTCCTTCCTGAGTGAAGGCAAAAATGTGTGAGCCGGAGGCTAAAAAACCTGTGAGCTAGCTCACACTAACTTGGCTTAGAGGGAACACTGGTGCTAGACTAAAGATGTGAAGGCCCGGGAAAAAACCGGAAAAATTCGGGGGGAAACCGTGTTTCCTTCTGTTTTCTTCCTGAAGCCTTTTTTGTTTCCCCCCGAAAAATTGGAAAAATTGAAAAAAGGAGAAAAAAATGATTATGGAACGTTTTATTTTAACATGATGAATAAAATATTTTAAGACAAGGTGTTCAAATATTTTCCAAATAATTTCTAAATCCCTTCCAAATCCCTTCTGTACACTTCCCCCCTCTTCAATTCTTTTTATGAGAATGGGTTTTTTAAAAATTTAATACTGTGGAGAGGAAATATGAATAATTGTTACTTCTGGATTTTTAAAGATTGTTTTGTGGAGGTTTTTTGGTCTGTTCCACATAAACTAGTAAACAGTCCAGGAGATTGTTGCTCCATTTGTGACAATTACAAATAAATGGCTGCGGTCACACGGAACAGAAGCCACACAAGTGAGACGGAAAACAGGCGGAGTTTCCGGGCGCGATCTCACCAGCACATCTGGGAAGCGTAGCACTCCCGTGGCTCAACCGAGGCTTCCAGCCGAAACTGCGTGGCAAAAAACTAGTACCTCGGAGGTACTAGTTTCCGGAAACTGCGGGGCAAGGGCGGGCGTCTGACCGTGTTTCCGGTGGCATCCGGCGCCCGCCCGTGTCCCCTTGCAAATAAGGTGGGTTTTTTTTGTCCAAGTCTCTGTGGATGCGCACACGCACCCAACGGAGCATGCGCAGTTGTCGTGTACACACAAAATAAAAACAGTTTGCCGCGGCGCGCGCTTCTTCATTGCGCGCCGGCTTGTCCTGTGATCAGCACCTCTCTCTTGCCATGGAACCTCCACGGTACCTCCACAGGACCTCCACGGGAGGTCTGATCGCGTAACCGCGCAGTAGTTTGCCCCAGGGCAAACAGCCACGCTTCTCCCCCGCAGTTTCCTGCCCGTGTGACCGGGGCCAATATGATTTAAAAAGTAAATTATGTTTGTAATAATTGTTTGAAAACACTATATTTTTAATATGCTAGTTGTGATCATTTCATGCCAAGTAAAATTGTCCATAGTCATTTTTTCCCCAACCTTCAAAATTTCCGGAAATTTTACATCTCTATGCTAGACCCGTTTTTGCCTGGTGAGAAATGGGAGATTGACCCATGGGCCTTGGGCGCAGGAGTGGGGTCACAATCACACAGCTGGGCAAACTTTGGAGATCTGCGTTCAGATTTCCATTCTGCCGTGAAGTGACTGTGAGCCAATCGCTCCTTTAACCGGACTTATTTCACAGGGCTGTTGTGAGCAATGCTCCCCCTAAGCTGTGGAGTCTTGTGAGCAAAAATTATACTTTGTGAGTGACTTGCATTAAAGTTGTGAGTGAGCGATCTGGCTGCTGCATAAATTAGTCTACTCTGGAGCCACCCTTCCTGAGCTAAGGCAAAAATCTGTGAGCTGGAGGCTAAAAGACTGTGAGCTAGCTCACACTGACTCAGCTTAGAGGGAACACTGGTTGCAAGATAAAATGGAGGAGGGGGTGTATGCTGCCTTGAACTCCCTAGTGGAAGGGTGGGATTCAAAAGCAGTGGGTGGCTTCTTCTATATAGGGTGAGCCAGCACCAACCCCCCAAACGAGCCCTCCCCCTTCCCTCCCAATTGCAGCTGTCCTCGCAGAGAATATCGGCCATGAGAGTTTGCAGAGGAGAATTTGGGGAGGGGAGAGAGAGAGAGCAAAGCAGTGTTCGTCATTCTTGCGCTCACATCTGTTTGCCTTGGCTGGAGATTTGGGTCTCTTTTCCTTTCCCCAGAATGCCACTTCGAAATTTCTCTTTGCTTGTAAACGTCTGATTCTTTGGGCCTTGCAAGGGATGCGTGGCAAGTACGTCTCCTCCTTAGACACTGGCGTTCCCACCGACCTGACGGCCGTGTTTCGTCTTTATGAGCTTGGCTGAACAGGTGCTGCAAAAGGGTCCCCGCGGGGCCACTGACGTCGCCCGGTTCTTGGGCTTGACAGAATTGTAGGAGGGGACCAAGGCAAAAGAGCACGTCGTCCGACCCAGCTGACTTTGGGCTTACTATTTTGTATAAAGGTAAAGGTTTCCCTCGCTCGAAAGCCAGTCAAATCCGACTCTCGGGTTACGGTGTTCATCTCCGTTTCCAACCCGAAGAGCCAGCGCTGTCCGAAGACTTCTCTGTGGTCATGTGGCCGGCATGACTAGACGCCAAGGCGCACAGAACGCTGTTCCCACCGAAGCGGCACCTATTGATCTACTTGCATTTTCTTGCTTTCGAACGGCTAGGTTGGCAGGAGCTGGGGCCAGAGACGGGGGCTCACTCCGTCATGTGGCACTCGGGTCTCGAACTGCCGAACTACCGACCTTCCAGTCTGCAATTCAGCGTCTTGACCTCTGAGCCACCGCAGCCCTATCACTATTTTGTATAATTTATTATAATTATAGAGAAGACGAAGGGAAAATCCCCACCCCTTGCCTCATGGAGATCTTTTTTTCGCTCAGCCTCCCCGCCGGCTTCTGGCGAATTGCCTGCACCCTCCCGAGCTTTCCTCCATAACCACAAGGGACGGAAAGTTGCCTTTTAAGGATACAGGAGCTGAGATTCTCTGGGAGCTGCCGCCTGTGCCCACTGCTCCCCTCTCTGTGCTGGCTACGGGTTCAAGACACGCACACTTGAAAGGCATGGAGCCAGTTTGGTGTCGGGGTGAAGTGCGCGGACTCTAATCTGGGAGAACCGGGTTTGATCCCCCACGCCTCCACTTGCAGCTGCTGGTGTGACCTTGGGTCAGTCACAAGTTCTCTCAGAGCTGTTCTCCCAGAGCTCTCTCAGCCCCGCCTACCTCACAGGGTGTCTGTTGTGGGGAGGGGAAGGGAAAGGAGTTTGTAGGCTGCTCTGGGACTCTGAGTGAAGGGCGGGGTATAAATCCAATCTCCTCCTCCTCCTCTTCTTCTTCTTCCTCTTCCTCCTCCTCCTTCTTCTTCCTTCTCCTCCTCCTCTTCTTCTTCCCCAGTGGCAGGGGTCATCCTGGCTGGGCACACACCGCTAACCCTTCGCCACTCCGCCAGACACAAGAAGAGTCCCTGGGAACAGGGAAGGACGGAGGGTGCAACTGGCCTCCCCCTGCATCCATCTGAAAAAGGGGAATTGTCAGTGCCCAGGGTGGTGGGATCCCCTTTCCTGACGGGGGAGCAGAGCGGCGTATCTCTTGTCCCTAGAGTTGCCAGGGTGGGGTAGCAGTTTGATCTGGAAGACCTTGGTTCAAATCCCCACTCTGCCATGGAAGTTTGCTGGGTGACCTCGGGCCAGCCACACACTCTCAGCCTAACCTACCTTGCAGGGTTGTTGTGAGGATAAAACAGAGGAGTCTTATGGGGTAGAAATGACATAAATAAAATAGAGTTCCCAAATCTGGCTTGGGAAATTCCGGGGGTGGACACCAGGGAGGAGAGTGGGATTCGCTGCCAGCGGACATCGCAGCCATATTCAGACGCACTAATCCTCCGAATCCCAGAACAAGGAGGCAACATCAGGGGAAGGCCTTGGCCTCTCTGCCCTGTTGTTGGTAGGCTTGCCAAGTCCCCCCAGGGGGCGGGAAACCCCCACCCCAAAGGCCCGCTCCCCGCCGCCGGATCGGGCCCCAGGGGGAACTCCACCCCCAATGTGCATGTCACCCGGAAGTGATGCGACCACGCCGGGCACGCTGGGGGCAGGGCCACGGTCATCCGAGAGAAAACTCTATGGTTTTCCCTCGGATGGTCGTGGCCCCACCCCCAGCGTGCCCGGTGTGCCTGCATCACTTCCGGGTGACATGGATGCGGCGTGCGCGCTTTTCGCGCATGCGCGTGCTTCAGCCACCAGCCAGGAGTCCCTCGCTGGCGGCTCTATTAACACTTGGCAACCCTAGTTGTTGGACCTTCAGAGGAACTGGTTGGCCCCTGTGTGAGACAGGATGCTGGACTAGATGGACCCTCACTGGGCTGCTCCAGCAGGGCTCTTCTGAGGTTCTTCTCAGGGGAAGGCCTCGACCTCTCTGCCCTGCTGTTGGCCCTTCAGAGGAACTGGTTGGCCCCTGTGTGAGACAGGATGCTGGACTAGATGGACCCTCACTGGGCTGCTCCAGCAGGGCTCTTCTGAGGTTCTTCTCAGGGGAAGGCCTCGACCTCTCTGCCCTGCTGTTGGCCCTTCAG